CATACAGGGTGCATACAGGGTATAAATGACTGGTAAGAGACTCCAGAGCAGACTGAGGACATGCCTCAGGGACTGCACATCTCCCAGCTGGCATGAATGAGAGTGTTTGGTGGAGGCGCTGGAGGAAACTGCTGAGGTAAAAAAGGTCACCTGGGGTACTCTACTGGTTTTGTTGCCACAGCGACCCTGAATCTGCTACAAAATGAGTAAATGGGTGGATGTACAGATGGATGACAGATATGATGTGATGTATTGTGTATTCACATTACAGAAGCAAAGATGATGTATGTATTCTGTAAATTGTACATACAGAATGTTGCAATTAATTCTGGGCATTTCCAGTGTCAACAAATTTACCATTGATTGGATTAAAATTCAGTGGATGTTGAGATGTAATCATCATCAACTGCATCAACTTACACAGCAACAGCAAAAAGACAAACATGTTTCAGTCTTCAGCCCTGAACAGTGTCAGATTGCAGTTGGAGGTAGGGAAACATATTGTACATCAATTAATCCATTAAGTATTCAAATACATCAGCGAGCACTTTGCCCTCCCTATTGACAAATAATACATCATATAGTATTAAAGTATTAAAACCAATACCACATATGCATAATACATTTGACAGTAAAACATAAACCCCAGCTCTATCTATCTATCTATCTATCTATCTATCTATCTATCTATCTATCTATCTATCTATCTATCTATGATAGATCTAGCAGATCTTGTATTCCTTGTGCTTTTCATGAAGGCTTCAGTTTACGCAAGTAAGACACCCTGATTATCTCATGCCTATTTAAACAGACCAGAACCTGATAAAAACTCGTGTCTGTGGTTGTCACATGGTGTTCCAAGATTCTGTACTGGTTTCTTGTCCAAAACAATTATTCAACAAGGGTACGTAACTGAATAAACACTGGCATATGACTGAAACACAAGTCTCGGTGATGAAATGGAGGTAAGTGAAAAAGTGATGGCAATTAATCAAAAGTTACAACTGAGGACACAAGTGATATGAGTGAAAAATGTCCTTTAGGTTTCAACCTAAAACAGGCTGTGCATGAAAGAACAGCAATTTTTTTTTCAGCTCTACCACCTTATTTATTTCACCTCTTAGCTCCACCCCTGCAACTGTCTTGCCAGAGAAAAGTGGAAATTTCCAGTAATTCCTACTGCTTTGCACAAAGTGCTCCTCCTCCTTCTAGTTTCCCGCCTTTCACTCTACCTGCTCTTTCCTGCTGCATGTTGGCCTTAAGACCTCATGGCCCTCTGCTGCTCAACTATGTGTTGCCCGGCAGCTTCTACTTTGCACAATGAGAAAACCTACTCTTTCTCACACAGACGTCCAGTGTTTTGTGTAGTCAGTGGTCTATAAATTTCTTTCATTGCAGATGTTTAAGATTGAGTGTTTGTTTGGTGACAAAGAGATTAGCAATTTAAAAAAAAGCACTTTTTTATGTTTGTTATTTGCACTGATCTTTCTGAGGGAGCCTGTTTCTTTGTTTACTATTTCAAAAGTACATCATATCTTGTTACCCTCTGAATAAATATTAAGGGTTAAGCAATGTGTAACTATCACATTAGCTCTTGAATGATGAACAAGGCTTGGCTTGGGATCACAGAACAGATTGTAGATTTGCATTTTTATGTCTCTGGCTGATCTGATATTCTGGTGTCTGGTGTGTTTCAGAGATATCACATGCTCCAGAGCTTGCCTACAACAGATACATCTACAGTAAAAATTCAAGATTCAAGTAATGTGTCAATACAATGAAGGCATAGGTGTGGTTCAGATGTGGAAAAGGAGATGATGAGTGTTAACGTCTTTACTGCCTGAGAGGTCTGGGCTATCTCATTGTTTCATCTGTGGTTTTATGACTTCCTCATAATTCACGACCATAGCAGAAACGTGCAAATATCGGCAGCAGTGAAGCTTGACAGAGAATCATTTTAGTTGAAATACAAATACTCCACAAGACAGCTGGAGTGGAGAAGTTTGGGTGTGTTGATGGCATGAGGCACACTGACCTTAGACCCATTGTGAAGCACCAACAAAGAGCCATCTGCACAGCAACCAAAGCTGAGATGAGGGACTCGCGCACAGGGGGACCAAGGAGGGGGGTGGGTGGGTGGTGGGACACAGAGGGACCTGCAGAGTGTGAAAGAGAAAATAGATCAATGATAAAGAAAATCTTTACATTTAAAAGCTTGATCGGTTAGGCAATGTGTGAAACATCATAACAGTCCATGGGAACATCTCAGAGGTTTGTACACAGAGAAAACAAGAAGCTGCACAGCATATCAACCCAGAGAGTACATGGATCTTTCTACTGGTGCTTAAGTGGAAGACAAGAGCTGGTGGCCTAATCACTCAAGAGCACATTTCCTGTCTCCTGTATGATGAGATGAAGTCAACTGAAGCTGTTTGAGGAAAATATTTAACTGAAACCTGGATTTCAAACATGGCGGGTATCTCATTCATTCTGCCAGCAGAAACGTACAGGCTTTGTCTCTGCATTGATATGAATTTTAATTATATCTTTGTTTAGAATGTTGATAGTTTGAATGTGAATGTGTTTCATAGTGCAAACAATATTTAGATTTCCTTTAGGGTGCATTTCATAACAGTGAAAACAAAGACAAAATGGTGTCAGGGACATCTGTAAAATTCACAACTGTTTCACAGGTAAGACATGAGAGTCAGGATTGCTTAGCAACAGCAGTAAAAAATTCTTGCAGCCTGTGTGGCAACAGAAGAACTGATGGTGCTGCCATCCAGTGGTGGACTGGTAGCACATGCTGGGGTCGAGCTGGCACTGAGAATGATCAAAAGCTCACCTCTCAAAAGCATGTATGTGCAGCAAGATGAAATAGCTGCTGATTATTTGCAAGGCGTAAACTTCATTTATGAAAAAAGGACTTGATAGTAAGGATAGTGATATCCTCTTTCCATCTTGAACACTATTCGAAAATGTGTTCAGTAATTCGATTGGCTGGAAAATGCACCAGCTCTCACGGCGGATGGTTGCTTAGCAACATTCATGGTAGGGTGGGAAGTGGGTGGGAGGGTGTTAGTGTTGGGGGGGGTGGAGCGTTCTTTAAGAGAAGGGGGAGCACTGTGGGCGCAGACAGTCTTTCTGGGGAAATACCTGGCAAACTTCCCAAATAAATAAATAAAAGAGAGAGAGAGAGAGAGAGAGAGAGAGAGAGAGAGAGAGAGAGAGAGAGGGAGAGAGGGAGTGGAGGACAGAGTGGGAGACAGAGGACAGGGGATTTTCCTTTTTTTTTTTTTTCTGGGTTCTGATAACAGTCTTGTCAGAGATTAAGGGAACAAGGCTTTTTACAAGTGCTAACACAGTTTGTTCCCAAACAGAACCACACCGGGGACAGGAAGTAGAAAGTATCTTGCTGAAAACTTTGCATTTTGCTGAAAACTTTGCCTGTAGTGAGACGAAAGTTGACAAGAACTTTGACACAAAATGAACTCCAGCATTAGTCTGTGGAGGGACTGAGTGGAACTATGATTGGCACAACAGGATGTGAGCTGTTGTAGTTGATAAGGTGCAGCGGTCTGACGAGGAACAGATGAATAGGCCACAGACAAGCATGTAGTTCCCAGATAAGAGTGGGGAGAAACACTACCTGTGCTTGCATGTTCTTGTTCGCACGGTTGGCTGTGTAGGTGTTTCCAAGAAACTGTTGAGATGATTACTTTTTAATTACACTGAACTAAATGCAACAATCTCAACAGTCAGCATTGCCCACAAAATACAGAAAAGAAGGACTAAGATAACAAGAGATTATGAGGGATGAGGAAGGTGCGCTATAGAAAATACTGAAGCTGTTAAGCTACAGGACGGAGAAAAGGTGGAAAATGTGCTTATATGGAGAGGAAGGCTAAAAAGGACTGGATAGAAGGGGGTAGGTGGGAGGGCTTTTTGCTGCTGGTAGGTACGGCCTTCAGAAGGAGGTGGGCCCTGGAAATGGCTGCTGCAGGCGGTCTCTACAGGCAATGAGGGCTCTTTTGTCAGAAGCAGGAAATGAGGTTTCTGTTGTGATTAAAAGGAAGGTTTCTATGGCAATGCAGAGAGCCGTGTGCACAGAGAATTTGTTGGGAGTAAGAGGGGTGGGTGGGTGGTTGGGGGGTGGGGGTGGTAAGTGAGAGTTGAATTTCAAAGCAAGCAGCCTCCTCCATCTCATCTCCCACCACCGCCACCCCTCAGCTTTTCCACGGCGCCCTTTTATCTCTGATAATCTGTTTTCATAGCCACACAGTTGAGTCTGCGAGGGGGATTATCTTGAAGTCATTGGTCGATCAGTCATAAATGTTTACAGAGTAGCAGTTTCACTTCCCCAAATTGCAGCTGTCAAAACCGAACTTGAAAAACAAAAAAACACTTCAACAAATACTCCTATTAAAACTACACAACTCAAGATGGATATTAACATAATGACCTAAATCTGTCACGTTCTTATTTAGACAGGTACACTTCTGTTGAATCACCCCATTCCTTTGTGAAGTCCATGATAAAAAAAAGGAAAAAAAAGCATGATGGCATCAGTGTGACCTTTAAAAGCTAAATATAGGAATGTGCTTTGTTAATTGTTTCACTGAGCTGTAGGTAAAAATATGTTTCTTAAAATAAGCTCCCCATTCTGATTTTCTCTCTCCCGTACAGAGGAAGCGAAAGCCATCTTTGCCCCAACACAGGCTCACTCCAGGATGTTTGGATAAGGTGACATTTGAAACTCCTGAGGATCAAAGTGAAGTTTTTTTTTTTTTTATCCTTGTGCCCTACAAGCCAGACTGACTGTTGTAGAAAAAAAAAAAAAGATACAGATGCTCCTGATATTACTGCTACACATGAAGATAATAGAGTACTCTGCCCAATATGCCTACACTATGAGACTGATGTTAATGATTGTGCCGTACAATGAACAGAGAACCAGTTTAATGGAAACGTCATATGGAGCAGATTTTATTATAGAAATCTGAATAAATGTGTGTGATTCACAGAATAATCATCATTATTCCACCAACAAAAATGTGTTTAAAATCAATGTGTACAGTGAAGTGCTTAAAAGCCCCTCACCTCCTTTTCGGAAACTCAGAATCAAGGTCCCAGCGCGCCGGTTAGAATTACAAAAGGTTCTGCTGCCCCCAACCTTTTCGTTTGAGCATAGCAGCAAGTACCATGTAATGAAACGCTGCCAGTGATGGAGAGCTGTACTGTGACCAGATTGTATAGTCAAAACCAGATGGCAAGTCACACATCAAAAGGACAGCTGGTTACCAGAGTCTGAAAAGGCATCTTTATAGCGCCAAATCTAATTAGCTCCAACTAAACAAATCACACCAAGATATAATGTAGCAGGCAATGCCAATGATTCATCATAAAAGGTGACATACACATAACATAATTAAGCTTTAAATGTTTGTGTGTGCAAGCTGCATGGTTTCAAGCTGGTTCCGTCAGCGGTCACGGTCTCCATTGATCTAGATTATGGTAAACAATGAACGCAGGCCCTTGAACAGCAGATAATGACGGCAGGGATGAGGATCCGCATTAACTACATTGATCAGGTCAATGTGTCAGATCAGTGCATCTTCCAGAGAGTGTCGTTGGCCATCGAACTGCTGATTGATCTTTGAGGCTTTGGTCACTGCTTGCTGGACTGAACTCTCTTTCTGCAGAACCTATAAATTATACCCAGAAAATCAGATGATAAAAGTACTTTAATCAACTGATCATGACATAAACCATAAATAATCCCTCAAGTGTAAGATTGGGACTTTTTATTGCACCGCTTTCATTATTCTTCTGCGAAGTTCCCCTTGTGACAGCGGCCGTTCTTCCTCATCAGTAACAACAGACTCTTCTTCATCATACTCTGCACTGAGGAGTCCAACCAACACAGACACACCCATCAATGATCATTGATGTTCCAAGAGTGTAAATGTACGTCACAAGTATGTTGAGCTCAAAATTAACCGATAAAACACTGACCTGTTGACTGCAGGTTGGATACTGATATTCTGCTGAAGCAGCTCTGGATTTTGACCCAAAAGGAATTTGGCCAGGTCTTTTGGATTGTAGTCCTTTTCCAGATCCTGCAAGCATTACAAATACAAAGACACATTATAATAGAGAGCAGAAATGAAAGAAAGTAATGTATATACACTAGGCTTATATGTCAAGAAAAGGTAGGACAGAACAGGTTGACAGGTTACTTTAGAATCGAGGAAAGCTTGTATGGTGAGCAGCTCATTAGTCTTCTGTTCCACCAGGCCCAGATAGGACATGATGTTGTTCTCACTAATCCCTGTTGAGGAGCCCAGCATGTCCTCTATCACTGAGTGGTCACACTCCATTTTAGAGAAGATGCTGTTCACTCCTGTGGGATGGGAGAAACCAAGAGTCAGGATTACCTACAACTGTCTGGGTTTAAATATCCAGTAAATATCCAGCCAAAGGTGCAGTATGTGGTGTGTGTATGCAGATATACACACACAGAACATGCATTTAAGAGAAAACTATGTTTTACAGGTCAGTCAATTCCTGATAATTTCATTGGACTTGTAAACAGACCTGTAAAATTAATTGTTGCCAAACCTGTTTTAATCTCGTCCAGGATTTTGCTTATAATGCTGGCTTGATTTTCATAGTCCTCCGCTTGGCATTCAGTTTCCTTTTGTTGTTCATCAATGTCTCTCAGCAAAGAGCGATGATTGTGCTCCTGCTGCAAACCTTTCACTCGAAACTGTTCCATCTCTTCTTGGATCTGCAGATTCGCACAGTTCAGTGTAAACAGATAAATAAACATATATTGGCTATACTGTACATTAATTAACTTTCTCCTCACTGAACACAATCTTGCCTGTGATTCTACAACCATGGTCTTTGAAGTTCTTTATACTGGTACCTACGCATATTCTACTGCTGCACTAATTAGGAGAATAAGCAAAGTAAAAAATGGGAGAAATTAACTGATGAGTGTGTCCATGGGTATAGTCAAATAGAGAAAACATACCTGACTGATATGATCCCTCAGCGCTTCAGCCTCATTGTTTTGCTCATTAACAAAATTGAAGAGTGCAAATTTCCGGTCTTCAACTACACAGCAAAACAGCAAACAGCAGTGAGGTACATTTAAATCTTCCCGATGGAGACTGATCATCCTAATTATCAAAGTGAGACATTACATTTAATTAGCTTTAATGTCCCTCCAAAGGTAGATACATGAAAATGAAGTAAGATATCTAAATAAGAGCCAGTTTTAAACTAAAAACACATACTGAAACAGATCCTGCAATAAACTGAGTAATGAGCAGATCTGACAGCATTGTCTTTGCGCATGGATGAGAATAAAACAGTCAAGTTGTGCTGGTAAGACTTACCCTGGATGAACCTGGTGACCAGCATGTCCAGGTTGTCCTCTCCTGTCATTGCCTGGATCCTCTCAAAAACCTCCTTGAGAACATCCAGCGACTCTTCCCCAGAGTCCGTCCTCCGCTGCTCCTTCACCTCTGACACTGGGACAAACAAGCAGCATTGCAATCATATGAAAGTCATTAGGACTGTATCGAAGCCACTATCAGCATTATCGTCTGGACTTGCATTATTATTATCATTTACTTTTACTTCACCATTTGCTGTTAATACTGATATGAATTATAATTCACACTTCCCTCCTTAGTCTGACTACCTTACTTACCTATTATGTGTGTGTGTCTATGACTTTCTGTTTTAGATCATCATTAAAAAAAATCCCATCATATATACCAATCGGTTTTAAAAATCAATGTTATTGATACATCTGAGGACATAAGTTAAGTATTCATCCCAGTTTTTGCAAGCATAAAACAAAATATAAAATAGGAACTGCTACAATCATAAGTGTTTACTAATATACGGTTTATGAAGGAAGGATGGAGAATAAGAAAACAGATGTTGTAGACTCAGAAGAATTAAATGAAATCTGTTCTTTTGATATTGTAAAATGTCAAATTCAGCAGCAGAAAATACACCCTAATCCTCTAAAACTCAATTCTCATGTTCTCGTTTCTTCTCTCTAGCTTGTGCTCATGGGATACACAGCACTGTAAGTGACTGTGCTCGGGCATTTGAATGTTATAAGCTGAAAATTGGTGGGATTCCCACTAGATACATTAAATATGTCGGCATTATTGTCATTATTGATGGCATTACAAAGATTTTGTCATTATTGTGAATATTATGTCAAAACAGCAACATTAGCTATAGCACATTGGTTTTTGTCTTACATTGTCTGTGTCCCGTTTCATGGCTGTCATCCTGTCCGCTCCTCTCGCTGCACTTGGTGGTCATAAACTCTTTCAGACTACACTCATGTGCAATAACCCTTTCAAGTTCCTTCATCTCAGCATTGTACTGGGAAAGGTCCTTCACCGCCTTCTCCCTCATCATTGTCATTTTGGACTGAGCCTCCACCCTTATGTAGAAAGGTTAATAGATAAGACATTAAAAAACCAAGCTCAAGAGGTGCACATCTTCCCAATTTTTTACAACATTACACAACTGTCTAGAATCTGACCTAGCATCATATGCAGCATTGGACAGGTTGACACTTTCCCCGATCTTCTTGCGGACCTCCTGCAGTTCCTACAACTCACAACACAAAAGTGCAGAGACATGCTTTTTAGTTGACATCTTAAAACCAGTGTAAAAAACTTGAATAGTTGGCTTAAATAACAAGGAAACTAGACTAATACTTTCAATCATCTATGGTGTGACCTATGACCTTGTCCAGCCTGTTGTGCAGTTGCTGGAAACGGACACGCTCAATATGAAGCGTCTGCAACTCCTCTCTCAGGTGGCTGTTTTTGGTCAGCTGTTCATTGAAGCGGGTCAAAGCCTGAAGAGGACATTGTACACAAAATTTTAAATATTACAGTAATATGTGAAAATTTGTACTATTAACCAGACAAAGATGCTCCTTAATACTCACTCTGTCCAGTTTGTATTCCAGTGTGCGTATGGCCTTCTGGGTCTGTCGTACCTCAGACCTTTGTGTGTCACTAATACTGACCTCCCCTTTCCTCAGCTCTGCCAGCTTCAACTCTATGTTTGAGATCTGCCCATAATACAGACACAACATAAGCACATGACATAAACTTGGGTTGGTGTGTCCAAAGATATCAGTAAACCTGACTAGTAATACATCGAGTGAAAAGCACTTACAAACCTCTCTTTCTAGTTCTTTTTGACACTGCTTCTCTTTCACTAGTTTGTCCTCAAGCATGTCTCTCTGCTCCAGCAGAGCACGAAGACTCTTGGCGTCCTCACTGTCCCGCTGTTGGTGGGACAAGCTCTTACATACACCAAGGTTTCGATGCAGCTCCTCCTGCTCCTTCAGCAGCTTGTCCATCTCCTGCCTTCATCCACAACACACAAACAGCTCATCAGGTAAATTAAAGCACACATTGTGAACACTGTGGTAGGTGTACTGTTTTATTACTGTTGTTTGCGGATCTGCTCCCGGGCCTGAATGTTGTAGGCCTGTCGATCTCCTTCCATGATCCTGAACTGTCTTTGCAGTTTGGCTATCTCTGATTCTGCTTAGAAAACATCATATGCACATTATAGTGACTGGCAAACTAACACCACTAAGGTGTTAATAGTTAATATTAGCAACATTACCTGTACCATCAATATCCATCTCACTGCTGTCTGAGTGGGCACTTGTGGCTGATCTTCCGCGAGGCATGGTTACACTGGGCTTTATTGCATAAAATAAAAAGTAATGTAACAAGAGGGAAAATTGGCATTGTCTTCTCACCATTAAGCTTAACCAAACCTAGACATTTAGTGTCATATTCAGCTTTAAAACCTAGATTGAAAGGTGAAATTGAGACTAAATATGACAAAACAGTTTTTTCTTTCTCTCAAAACAGTGATTGCCTGGAAGCAGCATTCACAAACCTTTAGTGTGTACTGCTGCAGGTTGCTCTACTTGTGATTCATTAAACCTAAACATTTAAAGCTAATTAAGCAGGTTTCTAATCTATAAGAATAGTCAATCCAAAGTATCATATTCTGGCACAGGTCAGCAAAACTACCTACAGTGCACATTAGCAAGCTAAGCCAAAAACAGTAGGCATACTAGTATTTAGCTTCGTTATAGCTAGCCAACATATGAAAGGTATCCAGAAAACCTCTGCTATTCATGAAAAATAAGAATTTACCTCCACAGTTGATAGTTTGAAGAGTAAAAACCCAGTGAACCTCTCAGGATAAACAGCAGGCGCCCATTAGCCTGAGTTGTTAGCAACTGTTGCTAAGTGTGGTGGGAAAGCCTGTCCCTGAATTCTGCTTCTCAGGCAGTAACAACGATGAAAGTCAGGTTGAGTCATACACACACATACTGTTTCAGTCGGCAAAGGTTATTGGTTTGGCCGTAACTGAAGTCCGAGCCTTCCAATCACAGCAATTTATACAAACACACAAACACCCTGTGATTGCCAGTTTGTGTAAGCTAGCCATTAGTCAAAAAGATGGGTTGCATGGGAATGCATGGGACAGACAGGACAGGACCGAACAAGTGCTACACCAGCAACAAAGAAGGTAATGTTGGGAAAATAATCCTCATCTATGAATAAATTCTTTACTCAAGTAGGCTACTCTACTTTAATTAACTTCATTTAAAACATTTCAGAGAGGGAAATATAGTCTAATAATACTTCATTTATCTGACGGTGACAGCTGCAGTTATTAAAAAAATTGTTTAGGTTTAATACACAGAAATTAGCTTGATTAAACTACCCAACATCAGTGCTGGAAAGTAATTTAATGAAGTACTACTATACTCAAGTACAGTTACTTTACTTGAGTATCTCCATTTTATGCTACTCGATACTTTTATGCTAGCACTACCGTACATGGTAGTTTCATTGTTTAGACAGATACCCAGAAAATGAACAGTACTGGGATGATTGGTTGGTTAATCAATTTACAGATTGACAAAGAAGTAATTGGCAACAATTTTATAATTGATTCATCGTTTCAGTCAACTCAAGAAAAAAGTGGAAACAATTCACATTTCATATTTCCTGGTTTCTAATCTCAAATCAAGTCTAAATTTAACATTTGCATTTTGGGGTTTTGTATTATTATCTTAGGCTTCAGTGAATAATGATGATTATTTCCTGGATTTGTACTATTTATTGACGTTTTATACACTGAACAATCAATTGATTATGAAAGAAGGTAACTGTCAGATGTATTGTTTGAAAGTTTCTATGTAGTTTATTTTATGTGTTTGTGTCAGAATAAATAAATTAATATCAGCTGATTTATAGTTATTGGAATTTTAAACTGACAAATATTAATATCAGTTGCCACAAAAAACTGATATTAATATCAGTTACCAGAGTATTGCTAGATCTGTAATTTATAGTATTGATTGCTACTTTTATTTATTGAGAGGATTGAAACACTCCATGCAAATAAGAATAATCTGTGCCTTGCTCAGTCCACAGATACTTAGAGAAAATTTCAAAGAAAAGTTAGAAAAGTTACAGTTTGTAAGAGCATGCCTTTTAATTGTGTCTTTATTGTTATACAGTTAATGGAGTTAACAAGATTAACAACAAGCAAGATAATTTTTCTTAAGAAATAAGTTTCTAATAATTTCTAATACAAAATCAACTACAACTATTAACCTACTGTATTTACCTAGAGTATTTATTATAATGAAGCTATACAAAATATACATTTAAATTGTAAAATATACTGTTTCTATACCTACATGAGCAGTTTATTAGTCATGTTGTTTATAATTACATATTAATTCAACAATATATGAAACACTTATTATAACCTAATGTAACAGTATATCTCATAGCTTTTAGGCCTAAGCTATAATATTCTTTGTTCACATACAAAGCATGAAAATATAATTTTTACAAAATATATGATTCTTCATATATTCCTTTTTTATATATAGGTTTTCAGTCATAAAATTGCATTGTGGTAAACATCATAGAGACTGTGTCTCTATTTACTGCCCTGACTGTGACTGTGACTGTGACTGTGACTGTGGCTGTGGCTCCTCCTGAGCTGGTGTTGGTGGGACACCCTCTAGGAAGGTACAGAAGTGCTTTGGTGTATTGAAGTCAGGTTTCCTCAACAGCAAGTAGCATTTTGGGAAGTAGTAGGCTGCCACCAGTCCCAAGTTGCTCGCCAGGGTGAAACAGACATGGACAATGGACCTATTCTTTGTATTCAAGCCTATGTAGATTGGAATAAAGGTCACCCAAATCACACAGTAGATCAGGGAGGAAAAGGTAATGTCCCTGGCAAGGTTATACTGATGAAGAGGCTTCACTGCCATGAAGGTACAAATGAATGATATAAGGGCTAATACAACATTCAAACCTTGCATTACAGCGAATCCCATTAAAGGTAACACTGGACATGACAGGAAGACCCTCACAAATACTATTTTCATGTTTGCCTTATATTCAGACAGTGAGGGCCCTTCTTGAACAAACCAGCCACAGAGACCAGCCTGCACAGCACAGCAGACCAGCACACACATCCAGCTCCCAGGGCCTCTTAGGTGCAGGTAAGAGGAAGCTGTGTCTGGGAACTCTGTCACGAAGAATATCTGTTTGAAAAAAAAAAAGGGGTTTCAGTCTGTTTACAATGTGTGATCTTCATATTGTTTTATATTACAGTAATGTATTTTGTCTGTCATTCCTCACCTGCAGTGAGATGGACGTGATAATGGAGAGGGCGACTGTTTGCAAAATGGAGATGAGGGGCAGCTGAAGCCGACACACCACGTCCCCTGGTTGCCCCAGGAAGAGCAGCAGACTGAGGCAGGCTCCCATCAGGCTGAGCAGAGCCACAAAAGTCAGGGCCCCACCTGAGGCCATTATCAATGGGGTCCCTCGATGCTTCAGGAACACAACACCAACTGACCCTTGACACAGCAGCAACAGCATCCCAGCCAGCATCAATTGCAGAGCTTCAGGTATGTCCCAGGACAAAACGTCAAAGGTTGGGTCAGTGCAATTAATGCTGCGGCTCAGGGACCATTGACCTTTAGGACACTTAGTACACTGGATGTCGTCTATGAGTCAGAAAAGACAGATGGGAATTTGGTTTGATGAACAAGCACACCATCTAGAAATCAAATAAAACCATGTGATATATGGGTTGATTGTGTCACCATTAATAGAATAGTTTGACATTTTTGGAAATACACCTATTCCTTCTTTCATGTCTGTGCATTGAATTTGGAGCTACAGTCAGCAACGTGTTATATCTTGTTTGTGTAATCCATACAAAAGCTGAAGTGAGAAAATATCAATTTTAAGAAGGCAACATCATGATGACAACAAAACTCTCTGATGTTACTGCACCTGGCCAAGAAATAGTCTTCCACAAATAGTAATTTTCACATTTTAGCTTTTGTACGGGTAAACACAAAGACACAAAGTTTAAATTATTGAGCTTTACAGGTGCTGGTAGGCAGATTTTGTTACATTTAAACAGAGCCAGGCTAGCTGTTTCCCCCTATTTCCAGTCTTTATCAGCTAAGATAACTGGCTGCTAGATCCATCCTTATATACAGTATATACTAATCTAAGCAGAGATGCAGAGATGTATGGACAACCACATTACCCTCATTTGCCCGATAAGTGCCTGGCAAACAGTCGATGCAATCAAAACAGCAAGAATGGAAGCCTTTGACTCTGCGGACCTGGCCTAGCTCACATGTTGCTGAACAGGTAGACTTAGGAACCTGCAAAAGTTGTGGCATAACAGTTAGAATTGTCAAGCCCCCCCCCCCAAAAAAAATCAACATTTAAGAGGAATTTAATTGCAAAGTTTTTAAAGTGTATATAGGTTTAAAAGTTTATATCAATTTTCTAATAAATTGCTGACATTACCTCTGAGTTTGCAGTGTGCCATTTCAAGAGGGACTTGTTGATGGACAGTTGCTCAGAAAAGCTTCCAACAACTTCAAATTCTACATCTGATGCATTCCAGATCCACTCAATCAATTGGTATCCTATGTTTGGGTTGCCATTACTGTCAAACACTATATGTGTGCCATTTACATCTACAGAAGTATTTCTTAAAACCTCCAACAGCTGCAAAAGAAGTTTTTATTCATTATTTAATTTCAATATTGTTAAAAAATGATTTAAACTGTCTGCAATCACCTACATAGCAGACAAAAAAAAAATCACCTTCCAGGGATAGATTTTGGTGTCAGATCCCCACATACAGGCAGTTGAATTGCATCCCAGCAGGTTATGTAGTGCCTCTGCCACACTGTAGATGGCAGCGTACACACTGAAAGCTGTGCGCTGCACTGAAGGGTTTGTCACCAAGCTTATATTAGCAGGTGATAAATTCCAACATTGTGGGCAGGGATTGTCGGGATTGCCAGATTTTGCTGTGGGATGGGACGTGCTCTCCTTCTCCTTGCTCAGTTTGATGAAGAGCTCCTCTGTGTAGGCAGTGAACAGATCCAGGGTCTGTATCTTGTCAATGAACCCAATGATCGTGCCGATTTTTTTGATATTGGGTATAGAAGTAATTCGATTATGGATGCTCCAACTTGTGCTGGCAACCCACACACCTGTTAGATTCCTCCTTATAACCTGTAGGAAATTGGATTGCATGATTGGTACTGAACTGAATATAATTTGTCCACCAATCACATGTAATACTTGTAACATGCTGTCCCACACTGATAATTCTCTGTGTCACTAACCTCTTTAAAAAAGATCTCTGCTGACTCTGAGAGAGAAAAGACCACTACTACGCCAACGTTGGTTGCTTTGATATTGTCAATGATGGTTTTGACTGCTGGTTCAGGGTCAGTGTATACAGGAATCAGCCCCTGATAGGCCACACATACAGACATGTTTTCTGCTATTTTGGAGAACTGCTGCACGCCTTGTTGTCCATACTCTTCTTCACTGCCCACCACTGCCACCCAGTTCCAGTCAAACTCTTTCATTAGAAGTGCCATGACATCTACTTGCCATTTGTCGCTGGGCACCGTACGGAAGAACGATGGGTAGAGAAGATTGTCACTGAATTTGTCACTGGTTGCGCCGTAGCTAATCTGAAGTGAGAAGAGTCATATTATGATACACTAATGTTTCTCAGGCCTTCCCATTATTGAAACAGTGTACTTTTACTGAGGTTGCAGTACAGCTTGCATTCCAATGGGCAATTGTTTTGTGTAATTATGTTGTCAAAAATATAAACAAGACAAAATAACTGAGCAAGTGACAATAATGGATAA